ATCCCTGAACATTCACGTGTTACACTATAATTACAGTGGATCTGTGTTTAATGCCATCTCCTTTTATTTTTAGCTCAGTCTGTTTTTATTGTCCAAAACCTGCATATGTGATGGTTATAAAAGCAGGAGGACCTTCTTGGTTCTCTGGAACCTTATAGATGTTTCCCCATGTCAATGCATTGGATGGTAACAAATAAAAGGGACAAAGTATTTTCAGCATTGTCTTGCCTATGACCATGGTTCTGTAGAGCTTGATGACATAATGAAGACACACCTGTGAGTGTTTTTAAAAAGATTTCTGTCATCACCTACTATGCAAAAGAAAGCCCAGTATGGGGGCACTTGCACAATTAGAGGTTGACTAAATACTTTTTGCCCCAGTGTACGCTGAAGGACCTTTCAGTCACCTTTAACCAGGTCCAGGGTCCATATCAGGGCACTTTTTTACTTTACCAAGTTCTTAAAATCAAACAGCTTTGACACAAAACTAATTTTGTAGAATAAATACTGTAGCGTCACGAAGGTCCTCTAATTTGTGACAAAGGTCACATTTTCCCAGCTAGGTCAAGCTGGGTCAGACTGTAACTTTTGGTTCCACAGATTAATCCAGGAGTCATGATGACGGCTGAATATCATCCCTATCTGCTGCTGTTCCGTCCCAGAAGAAGGACACTTCAAGTTTCACAATGATAATTTAAATAATAATTTTAATAAACTCTTTGACTTTATTACTGTTTATTATAATCATCATAAATAATATCTTGGTTCAGTAAATTTATTTTTAATTACTGAAATGAATTATTATGCTTTGGGTATAATTATGATTATGGTTGATAATCGGTTATGTATGTTCAGTAAACCAGAAGGTCAACTTCCACTTTATCCATCCAACACAGAGCTTATCCAGAGTAAAGGTAATCTGCCATCACATGTCTTTGACTCATGACCAAAGCTTTCTTGCTCTGAGAGTGGGCGTGTTCTGAGGGGTTTGTTAAAACTAACTTTCCAGCAGCAAAACCTCAGTTCATGAACCAACCACCATCACTGAGGATAAGAGAACGGCCGCCCTGAAGCCTCCACCTGCTGTTCTGTCACGCTGATAGAATAGCTTTGAATAAACACACGATAACCAGCTGACGCAAAACTCCTTCAGAGTTATTGATTTTGAGACGCAAATAGTTTCATCAGTCGTGTGACCCACGGAGACATCCCAGGACTGATTTGGTCGCATTGAGGTTCTTCTACCATCCTCGTGCCCAGAGGAAATCATCTCCACCTGACATCTCGGACCCAGAAGGGGGTCTCCTGAAACTGGGTGAGGTAGACACTTTCGACAGATGACGTCTGATGCTGTTTCTCTTAGTAACAACAGTTAGCTGCAAAACCATCATTTCCAACCCAGAACGCTCTTCTCTCTCTGAAAGAAACCTTCTGAGAATTCATTCACGCATCCAAAACTCGCATTTTCAATTTAGCTTTCCATCTAGTCACAGGTTTGCCTTTAAACCAAGTTTAATATCAAAGCTGGTAAATTGTCATCCATGAATTGTCGTTCCAAACTGTCAAGTTTAAAATTGTTAGTAATAAATTCTTAACTTTAAAAACTTGACTCTCATCTTTGAAATGAAACACAGAAATGTTTAAATATGTCTGGTTATTGAAAAAGCAAAGATTCCCAACTTCTGATTCAAAAATAAACTTTTGCTGTTAAATTTAATCATCTTAAATTAAACATTAATCTTTGGATTAAATATAGACCAAACAGGTTGGTGTATGAAACTCTATCGATTATATAAGTATCCTGGATATGTATGCATGATAAAGGCTCATATGCTAATTTGCTTGGTCATTCTCAGAATCCACAACTGATAGCAAACAGTGTTGATTCTAGTATGTAGAATACGCTACAATACGCTCATCACCTACCTCTGACTTAGTGAATCGGTCTAGATCTGACTAAATGTCAGCGACACTCTCATCACTCCTCCTAATCCCTCCCAGTCATCCCTGTTTGTTTCCTCTCACTCGGTGTATAGATTACAGAGCATTACAGGCTGAGCAAGGATCAGTTAATGCAGGGATTTGACTAATTAGGACGATTTGAGTGTTTGCGTACATTTGGGCACATGTGAGTGTATGTGTGAATACTTCTACACCGAGCACACATTAGATCAATGTTTGTTTGTTTCTCTAATTAAATGAAACCACCTCCTATCACAGTCATGCTTCCAGGCCTCTCACCTTCACATACCTCCATGTGGGGCTTTCACCCAAAACTGAAATTATGCTGATGATGCAAGATTAGTGTGAAAACAACAGAAAATAAACACAATTTTTAATGTTACAGTTTCACAAGTAACCCTAAAATAGATCAGACACCCAAGGAAGGACCATTATTCAGCTGTAGATCTCTGATTTACATAAAGCTTGTGACAAAGAGAAATATATAAACTATTTTTTCCCCTGAACTTTCCCAGGGTTCAACTGCAGCATCGTGTTTATTTTGGAGACATTCTCTTCAATCCTCTTCTTAGCAGGTGAAATGCAGCTCAGTAAGGTTTTAATCTGGAGATTGACTCGGTCAAAGTAAAACCTTTTTGGCTTCTTGGACGGCGTTTGGGTCAGCAACAGGAACACCTGTCAGTTAGTTCTTCTAACTTAAAGAATGAAAAGTTTTATTATAAAGAAGATAAATTACCTAAGTCTTTACAGATCATGTAAACAGCTAACTGTCTTATATGAGAAATTTAAGAATTGTCCTTGTTTAGGCTGTAGAAAATAAAAACTGAAATTTATTTTCAAATATGTTGCTTAGTTCTGAATTAACAAAGCAAGAATGCATTTTCTGCAGGGAATTTTAAATATTTTCCAAAAGAAACACAAAAATTGCCTTCAAATGAAACATTCAAAATGACAAAAAAAAAAGTAAATTAGAAGTATCTTTCTCCTCTTATGATGTAACACTTGGTTTGTGCGAATCACATTTGCAGCAGAGCCTCGCTAACATGTGCTTAAGACCAGACCTCTTCAGAAAAGGAATTGAAGACATCACGCTGCAAAAGCATGATGCTGCTCTTCTGCCTCGCCATCTACACGTTGGTACAGGAAAAAGAGAAGGTGCGAATCAACAAAGACGGAGGTGGGCAAAGTGAGACACAATGCAGGAGTGAGAAAATGGATGCGAGAAGAAAAAAAAGATGAATAGAGGAGATCCAATCAGGAGTAAGAAGTGAGGCAGTAGTCGTGTACGCTGTGTTTGATGCATGTTGACAGCCGTTTCTGTAAGAGGCAGTAAAATGTGTGTGTGTGTGCGGGCTGTGATGATGCATATTAACATTTTTACTCTAATTAAAGTGCATTTTCTGTGTTTCTCACAGGCATGAACAAATATTTTTATAGAAGCACGTTTAGATCTCCGTATTTATGCACCGTATCTCCCTAAAGCACATGATAAAAGTCTGAACTATGAATTTGTACATTTGCACCACCAGCTGATGATAATAAATGCAGTTTCTGACCCTTTTCAACTAAAAACATAATAAACTGTTATAATTCCACTGATTTGAAGTGAAATCTTTGTTTTAAATTAAACTGAGTAAAAGTTAAACTACCCGAGATTGCCAATATGGAGCCATAACAACTTTGATTGGTAGTTGGTCTTCAATAGCCCGTCTCCTGCTGCTGATTAAAGTACTTCTACTGACCGGTCAGGAATGGTACCATACCGCTACATGGCTGCCATTAAACCATTAAAAGTAGGTGAACAATAATGTTTAGGAGCCGAGTGTTGTCTTATATGTTCAATACTGATCAGTGGAAAACGGTATTGATCAGACAATTCTCCAGATTGGATTAAGATGCCTTTAATTTGAACCTTTATAATCAACAGTAGATCCTTATTCTGGACTCTCCGGTTTAAGACAAGTGGAAAAAAAAACTCTAAACAGATCAAATGCATTTTAAAAATGTTGAATGTGTACAACAATAACACCATCCTCACTGCACCTCGCTTCCTGATCCTGAGTGTCTAACAACAGAAACACCTCACCTAATCAGGTTCCAAGTGTATTAATTACATTTGGTATTGCTCACAAGAGCCCTTACTTACAACTGTAAGCACCTTTAACTAAACATAATACATTCAACTGAAAGGCTGGTCAGAATGAATCCAATAAAGAGGAGGGGACTAGCCTTTTAACAGTCAGCACATTTGACACAAAAACTCTGAATGTGGTGGTTAAATAGTTTACGTATGGGCCCAGGGGCAAAGCGCCAGCTGAAAGGTTACCATGTGCAACTCAGTGATTCATAAACTCAGGCCGCAACTGACCGTGAGTCAGCCCAACATGCCTGCACATATGGAGCACACGAGAAATGTCGTAGGAAAACCCCTCCAACTCTGCCCCACTGTGCATCTCATGCATTCACATACAGCATGCTCTGGTTCTGGTGTCAGTCTCTAAGACGCGAGACCAACAAACACAATCAGAACCTCCAGAACCAAACAGGACACTCTGATGGTTTCAGCGTGAGATTAGCAGAGAGGGTGAGATTAGGGAACCACTGGCAGCTGTTTGGGTCAGATTCATGCTCCAGTTGACTGATTAATCTGTGAGGTTACAAAAGGCTAGAAGCTCATTCTGTTGGTTCTGCTGGATTATACCTCCATCTACTGGTCATGACCAGGTACTGCAGGTGGACGGGAGGTCTTACTTTAGAATTAGTGATCAGTTAACAAATCACTAATTGTTGCTATTTGACAAAGGTTTTAAACGTAGTCGTGCCTAATCAACAGTTTACATTTTAAAGATGCTTTAAATGTAACCGTTGAAATACGAGCATGTGTAAGTATCCCACTTTTTTGCAGATTAAAATCCCAGATTTCCTTGAACTCTGCTTGGTGAACCTTTCCTGCTAAACAGTTATAATTAAATGACCACGCTGATGTCAAATGAAGGTAAAACGGTGTAAGAACCCATACTTTAGGAGTTCTAAAACCATAAAAGAAGACAAAAGGTTTTTAATCATTTGATAATAAAACAGCACAGGAAAACTGATGAAGCTTGTAGCAGAATCAGAACATCTAAACAAACCCATCTGGGGACTTTCTCTGATTTACAACAAGTTTATTAGAGTTAAAAACAAACTGAAAGTCTCAAGAGAGTAGCACAAGAGAAGTTACCGGTGGTCTGACTGGACAAACATTTAATCCAAACGGCTTAAATATAATCCCCCACAATTTACTTTACAACTCATCTCTTTAGATTACGGAGCAGGAAGTCTAAAAACTGAAAGGAGAAAGTGAGTAAAAGAGAGAGCTTTTGAGTAGATGCATCTGTAATCTGTCGGAGTTTCACAATGAAAGCCGAACAAGCAGCAGTGAGAAAACTAGAGTCACTCTGTTTTAAGTCTCTGTGCATGCGGTGTGTGTCTGTAGTGGCTTATGATCTGAACCAGGATGAAGCAGTTGATGACTAAGAACAATAATCCCGCCATCCAGATCAGGAAGAATGTGTTGTAGTCTTCAAACTCCAGGAAGTAGGCCGGAGCCAACCAGATACCCTGCAGGGGGATAAAACATGGCTCGGTACAGGACAGGCACCCAAAACCAGCTCTAACTACTACTTTGTGTTGATGAGCCACAACACTTAAAGCATGATAGATTAGGTTAAATAGCCCTGACCCTAACACCAAACAGTCTTAGGGTCTCAGTGCACCCAAATTACAGTTCTACAACATTTCCAGCTATTTTCTATCTTTTAAAACTGATCCCTGCCAGATCTGAACCTGAGACCTAGCCTAGAAATCAAGACAGAAGGTAGCTGAGGCTAAAATGATTTAGCCCTGCCACGCTTTATTAGAGCCGCAGCAGTCTTGTGTCTCGCAACTAACAGAGCTCCATCGGTTTGGTGGGTGGGATGATGCAACTAGGGTTGTCACGGTAACCGGTGTAGCGGTAAACCCCGGTAAAAAAAACAAGTTGACAAAAATAATAACCGTCTTGTTTTTTAAAAACTATATTATCTCGGTGGGTTACCGTGGCTGCGGTGTAGGCGCGGTGACCCTTACCAGCCACCGTATCATCTGCTGAAGTTGCCGGCGGCACATGCGCACTTTGTTGTTTACGACCAAAACTTTCTTGAAGCTAAAGCTGAAATAATGGCCAAAGGAGGAGACGGCAGCGCTCAGGACATTTATTATCCCTCAAAGAAGACAAAGTGGGAAGTACGGGCATCTTTTGGATATTTGAAGAATGCCGAGGGACAGTTGATAGAAGACGGCTATCCTGTTTGCAGCACGTGCAGAAAAAGTGTCTGTGAAAGGCAGCAACGCTTCAAATCTCATGACACATCTGCATGACCATCACCCACAACTCTACAGTCAACGCAAGGCAAGCTAACGTTAGCGTTTTAGCTAAAATGCGTGATCCGAGGATTTGGGTTGAGGGAGAATGCAACGGGTCGCTATATAAAGTAGCCGCAGTGCCGCTACCTGCATATAAACAGTGTCGTGGACACCCCCATGTTGAAATGACACTATGCTCCCAGGGCCAGATAAGAGTTGGTCTCTCTCCGAGAATAATTATGAATTTAACAATGATTACTGCCTGATGACATTTTCCCACATTTTCCCACATCTGCAAAGCTCACTGGAAGGACACAAACCGAGGACAATATTTTCCTGATATAGGGTTTAGTACTCAAGTAAGGGTAAAAAAGTATCTGATTAGAAGGCTACTTGAGTACTGAGTATCATCTGATCTAATATTTTTAAATTATGACATCAAACAGACATAAAATAAGAAGTTATGGACAAATATTGGTATTTTAAAGACTAAAGGGGAAAATGTAAACAAATAAACAACATCATTACAAAATAATAAATTTTAGGCAAAATTTAGACACAAACTGAGGACAATATTTTCCTGATATACAGGATTTATTTAGTTGTCTGAAAATGTAGCACGTTTTAAAAAATACTGCGATAACACCGAAAACCGTGACAATTCTGGTCACAATAACCGTGAGGTTAAATTTCCACACCGTGACAACCCTAGATGCAACAGAGTGGAACAACTAAGATGGTGACAGTACTGAAGTTTATTTAGAAAAATTATGTATTTATTTGTTGGCACGTGAAGACATTTTGAAGACGACGGAGCTCTGTTTATGGCTAGCAGTGTTGGGCAAGTTACTTCAAAACTGTAATGCATTATTTATTACTTGTTACCCTCATTTTAAAGTAATTCATTACATTACAATATTACTGATTTTAAAATGTAAGGCATTACACTACTTTTGAATAACTTTAAGTTACTTTCACCAAAACAACTTCAGTATGAATCTGTAATGTGACGCTCAGTGAGCTCATGACATATATGTGGAAAGTGATGTGGTGTCTGAGCTAGGACTGCTGGTGATGGGGGCTCCAAGCCTACATTTGCCTTGGTCCCCAAATGCCTTGATACGGCCCTGGATGTGGGACTGACTTCTGGGGTGATCTGATTCTATCACATGTATAAATATTAAAAGCTTATATATTGTTGCTTTTCACTGGTAAAAATGTGAATTGGGGATAAATCTACCTACTTTTTTTCTTTTCAAGCACTTCGTTTTGTTTTCTTGGTTTTATGTGAATAATTTCCTGCCCTTTCTCTCTCTAACCTTCCTGCATGCTGCATGTTTTCTCCGTCTTCCAGAAAAACTGTTTCCTAGATTTCCTACTTTCTAACTAATCAGCCAAAGGGATCTACCGAACGCAAAAAAAAAAAAAAATAAAATAAAATAAAAAGCTTAATATGCGCTGCGCTCCAGCAGCAACGAATTGAAATCACCGGGGCACAGATTATGAACTCAGCTGAAAAGTACGTGAAGTACCAGAGAATATGGGCTGACATAAACGATCACAAACGAATTACGTTGTTTTGGTGGAGCGATTTTGTGAATATAACAGCGGCCACACGCGCAGGATGCAGCTGGAGTATTTGAGCCATTACCGCTGCGTTCTCTCTGCTCATAGAATGCCCGCAAAGCTGAGTCCATAAATGACGTCATATATGTGGATACTGGATCTTTTTTCAGGTTTCCCACAATTTGAATTTTTAGGAAACCCACGTCTTGATTCTGGGTTTAAAAATGCATTGTAATTACCGCGTTACTGACAATTGTACCGAGTAAATATTACCATTTTCTTTACCACATTACAGCAAAAAACAATGCATTACAGTAATTAATTACATTTGTACCGCATTACTCCCAACACTGATGGCTAGGCTACATATTCACATTTATAAGATGGGGCTTGCCTGAGAAATTTCCTAACATTAAGAAGCAAAGAAAATAAAATCTACTAAAATCCTGCTGGTTAAGCCAACAAGATTATGAGAATAGAATTAATGAAAAAAACTGAATTACCTGTCCAGCAAACCAGAGGAGCAGCAGGCCTGAACCCCGTTTCCCAGACAGACTCAGGTGTGGGATGACCAGAGGAAGTAAGCAAAGATACCACAGAAAGTACTGAAAAAAAAATATATATAAACAATTGCTTAGCGCTTAGTCTGTTTCCATAAATTCTTATATGATCTCTGCCTAGACCTTTAGTACCTGTGAAGTGCAGACTTTGTTGAAGGAAACAAAAATGGCTGTATTAAGGAAACAGGCGAAGGCCAGGTGACGATGGAAGGCCCATGATGCTACTAACAGCAGGATGAGCTGAGGCAGAAAGGCTGCCAGGCCAAGCCACTGGCTCCCCCTGCTGTCTGCAAAAACAATAAAAATATGTGGAAAACTACAAAACATCGATATAAAACACCTGTTTTGTTGTCTTAATCTGGTGGATTTGATTGGCTGAATTAGTAGATACCTGCAGTGAGGTAGAGCATGTAGAAGTAGGGGGAGAAGTTGTGTCTGATGTCTCTTCTGGTCAGATGGTAGAAGTATGTCTCATGAAGAAACTGCCAGCCATACCTGAGGTTTCAGCAGAGGTGATCACACTTAGAAGTTCAGAGATAAAAGAAGCTAAAATGTTTACTTTTAAAGAAATTGTGTCTGTTTTAAAGTTAAATATGTCACGAGGTGAAAATCTTAAAGCCTAAAACTGATCGTTCGGAGAGAGTTTAAAAGTGCTGCCACAGGAAACCATCCTGTGCGTAAGTGTGTGTGTTTTGGTGCTTACATGTAGTAGAAGAGTCCTGTGAGTGTGAAAAAGACCGCTCCGGCCACACTCACAAAGAGGATCAGCTCATAGTTGAGGAAACTTCCAATAAAGGTGACCCACTTCTTCCATGTTTGCTTTTGTTTGCCTTCCTCTCTTCTGCCCTCTGGTGCTCGCAGAGCCAGAGCGATGGGCAGGGCATATGTAACAGGATAGATCTTCATATGGACAGACAAGCCATAAAGCACAGCTGCACATGCCAGATGCTTGGCTGGAAGAACAAACAAAGAAAGGTATCGGTGCACTGAAGCTTAAAAAGGAAGATCAGAAACTAAAAAGTCTCAAGAGTTCCCTTTCTAAGGAGGGCATCCCCTCTTTACCTTCCATACAGAGCAACGTCCCGAGCACCAGAGCAGACAGGATGGACTCGGCATTCCCTCGACTGGACACACCCATAGGAAGAGGGTTTAAAAGCCACAAAGATGAAATTTTGCTTGCACTCTGAAGAAAAATGCAAACAAAAACACATTTTTTCATTCTGGTATGTAAAAAACCTGCATTTCCTACTAAATTTGTTCAAGAAACAAAAAGGTCTAGCTCAGACTGACATACCTTGCAGTCTAGACCTTGCATGCAAAGGATTTTGTAGATGAGCACTCCTGACAGCGCATCACACAAGATGAAAAGCATCTTACCAAACACCAGGGTTAGGTAGATGTTTGAGGTGAGAAGCCAGGCCAGAAGAGGAGTGTAGCGGTAGGTAGAGCGGTTGTACGGAGACTCGCCCTGTGAAAACGCTCACAAGTTAATGTGAGTTTAGAAAACATGTGTACCTCTCATAAATCTGTAAAACTATAAATAACACTTTAGGCATGTTTGCACAGAAAACTGTTTTCCTTACAATGATATTTATAAATAAATGAATTCATTTATATTTCCGTGTCTTGCCCACCGCTTTACTTAAAGGTTTTATAACAAGTAGATAAAACTGCAGCTCAGTTTCCCCCCATAATGCACAGCGAGCACTGCGACATACCTGAGTGATGAACCTGGCAGCATCTGTAAACACGTGATAGTCGATGTCGGTGAACTTCACCACCATGTTCCTGTCCTGGTAGTCTCCATAAGCGACCAGAACCAGCCGGATTAGAAAGGACGTCGTGAACAGGAGGACGTGTTTTTCTGTAAGCTTGGACAAAAGTCTCCCCATCTCCATCAGATTAGCTGCAGTTTAACTCAAATGTTCGGTTCTATGTGAATCATGTCCGCTTTTCTTGAACGCATGACACTTTTAAAAGTGTTTTCATCGAGCATTTTTGTGAATGACCTTTAATAAGTGACCAGACTGCTTCAAATGTGACAACCCGGAAGTGCAGAGGAAAACATTGTCTTCTTCTTTGGTTTGTAGCGGCACTTCAAATGATCATGTGGCATTCCTGCCACCTGCTGGAAGAAAGGAACTACTACATCACAAGCTTTTGAGAAGAAGCAGGTTTTACAGGCTTTATTTGGCTCTTTTTATTTTATGAAATAGTTTTTTTTTTATTTATTATCTGCCTTTTAACATAAAAAAGTGTCCCTCCAATATTTGCTTTGGTGTTTGAAAAGTATTATACAGAAAAGGTTCACGTGATTCCAGTCTGGCTCTTACAAACTGACTACACAGTTCTCTTCTAGTCCGCCACCAAAAATCCGGAAAACAGCCTGTTTTGGCTTCTGTTAGCTTTTCAACATCTAAAATTTCCTTCTTCTCTTTTGTCACTAGGTACAGGTAGAAAAGGTTGTGAAGTCTGGCAAAATGAAAAATGGTTGTAACTAAATATAGTAAAAATCAGAACATGAATATGAAAAGGAAAGAAGCAGATTTAATCCCTTATCACTTCTTATTCTCAGTTTAACACATCCTTCATATAGACTCACGATCCTGGCCCGTGTTTGTTTAGGTTTCTGGATTTTTTTTAAAAACATGCTAAAGAAAATCAAGCAATTGATTTAAAATACAAATTTCTGACCCGAATTCTTTTTCTAATAATTGAGATAAAAAAGATTAAAAATTAAACCAATTTTCTTTCATGTGTAGAATAATACAAAACTAAAAGATAGGTTTTCCTCATTTCTGGCACCAGATGTTGTCATAAAAAGCACAGAATTAGACACATTTGGTCCAGGTAAAATGTCTAAACTACTAATGGAGCTATTACTCCAAAAGACACGTTTAACACAGTAAATCTGAAAAATAAGTCAATGTGGTTGACTAATCACTCTGATGAGTGATGCATTCTGGGACCACAATAGTCCAATTAACACTATAAACTTCCTTTTTAAGGAGAAAAAATATTCTTTTTTTCCCCATAAATATTTACTTCAGTGACAAAAAAGGGCAAACATTGAATTGATTTGAATGTTGTTAAACAGGGTAGTATAAATAACCCTTCCATTTCGTGTGAACTGTCCCTTTAATAGCATCCAGCAGTTTTTTGCGTCGTCTCTGTGTCGCAGTGAGATTTGCTGAGCTGTAAAAACACAAACGGCCACACAAAGAGGACACTTGTATGCCAAATAAAATAAAAGGTCATCCATAGAAAAACAATCATTTTAAGTTCATATTCTTAGATTTGTTTTCCAGAGCAGGATGCCTCCCAAAAGCATTCTTTTGATTTTATGCAAATGCATAAGTCCTCTAACACATTCTCTCACATGACCGTCTGACACAAGATTCAAATCTGAATATTTACAGGAGCCCCCTGCAGCCAAGGAAGATGCATTCGTTCTCCTGTTCCTTCTTCACTTCTATAACCTTAAAACTGCTGATTTTGTTTGGTTCCATTGATTTAATCTGTAAACCACTTTGAATAAAAACAGCTGTTATCTAAATGTAATCCAGATTGTAGACAGATGGATGTGTCTGACTGGATATGTTTCCTGCAGTATAACTATGTTACTACACAGATTTTTATAGCAAAACTGGTTGAAAATAAAATTTTGTAACAATGTTGAATCATCACGTTTTTGGTGCTTTTAAAAGAAGACACACATGCAAACTACACACTTTTATTCCATGTGTAAAAGCAGGAGGCGTTACGCGGACTCAGACCCAGTGCCAGCAAAGCTTCCCGTCATTTGCACTAAGTAACGGATCTTTCATTCTCTTAATGGTGAAACAGCAGTGGAAATAACTTCATCTATTTTAGAGGCAAATGAACTGATGCGTAGATGAATTGAACGAAAATACAGAACCTGGGGTATCAGGTAGCAGCATATAGGGCCGTACATACATTACAGACATAGATAAAATCCCACTAACATGATATCAGGTGTTCATTTTAAGCAAGGCACGTGATACACTCAGTGATTATGTTAGAAGTGGTACAAGCAAGATGTTCTGAGACATCCATCTACAGGTTTTCCTCATCAGCTTTTACGTGGGTGTGTTTAGCAAAAGGGAAGTCTAGACGACCTCTAGTTATTCTATTGCTGACACAGTAACCTCCTTCCTGCCCTAAGCGACGTGCTGATCACTCAGGTGAGCAGTAACGACCAGCAAACAGAACACTGTTGGAGGGGTTGTGTCGGATGAAGAAGAGGAAGGGGTGGTCTGCGATGAAGGCGGCCGGGCGTAGGGCACAACGCAGCATCATGACAGCTGCAGTGGCAGCAGCAGCCTCAGTTCCTTCCTCGTTGACCTCAACAAAGGCTTTGTGGTAAACTTCTGACACAAACAAGTCGTTGGCAGGAGACATGCCTGTAACAGCAAGATTCTTTAAGTGATAATGCACCACATGAGATTAAAACAAAACCTTCTGGATCAGGGGTCTCATTTATCAAACATTGCGTAGAATCCTTACTAGAACCGTATTTAAGCTCAGCAAAAATAATTTACTTACGCCAAGTAGGTTTGTGATCTATCAAACATGGAGTACGCACAGCTGCACGCAATCTCCGCTTCATAAATCGGAGACTAACGAGAATGTTTCTCAGCTGCATTTTGGTCACATCCCGCCCTCACCACGCCCACTTACTGCCATAAATAGTCAGTGCACAGTGCCTTGTGGATCTCATGCATACACATAAGCCGGCTGTTGTAGCGCTCCACCAATGACATGGGGACCGTAGATGAGGGCAGATCAAGGAAGCACAATTTCACAGAAGCAGAAACTGAGGTACTTGTGGGTGAGGTGGAGAAATGAAAGGAAGTGCTTTTGCAAAACAAATAAGAGAAAATCCACGGAGTGGCACAGCATTGCTGAAGCCATCAATGTTGTGAATTCTTCAGAGAGAACTGTGGCGGCCAATAAAAAAAAAAGGTCCAATCGGGATTCGATCCTCAGACTCCCAGGTGAAAGTCACGCGCGCTAACCAGTCAGCCAAACGGCGATCTCCCTTGTCAAAGTAGGCAGGGTGCATGATTAATCAGGTTACAGTGACAGGACACACACACTGTCACAGATGCATGACATTCTGTCTCAATCTGTTGCCCTGCTGATATTCTGCATTCCGTAGTCTGCGCTTCAGGCTGTGCGCGCACGTGTGTGAGCGCATGTGTGTGAGCGCATGTGTGTGTGTGTGTGTGCGCGCGCGCATATGTGTGTGTGTGTGTGTGGGGGGGGGGGGGTCTTGTTCTGTGTGAAAACGAAGCAGTACAAGTGATAATGCTGCAGGATTTCATGATTTTATCCTTCTCAGCAGCAGCACTGCAGGTGCTCTCCATGTCCAACATGTGCATAAGTCAGGTCCTTAGTCAACTTAAAGTTGCGCACATTTTTCCACCAAGTTTTCTTTCATAAATCCCAAAGTTTGCATGGAAAGTTGCTTACGCAGTTTTCCGACCCTGTTTTGTGCGTAAGCAAGCTTGATAAATGAGACCTCTGGTTTGGAATGGCTGTTCAACAAACGTGTGTGGTTACCGCCCAGGAACTCGTCCTACCTGAGAAGTCGCTCTTTCCCATGTCAAAGGCATCCACCATGCCCATGCTCATCAGGACGGCCTTCATGTCGTACTTCTCCTCCATCTTAAATCGAGGCAGGCCCACTTGGACCTCAACTTCATCCATCATGTCCGGGCGAGTCCACTCCACAAAGTTCTCGTATGACAGCACGCTCTCCAGCTGAGTGCCCAAAACAAAACCAGTCACTTATTTGTTCTCGTCTTTCAGACTTCAGGTTCAAGAGGGAATGCGTGCTTATCCTACCTTCTCCAGACCAGTTGTACTGTCCTCTATGTTATTAGGTAAGAAGATAAGCATGCTCAGCTCCTTCCCTTTGTAAGGCATCTCCAGGACCTGTCAAACACACCATGCTCATCAAGAAATAAACTAAACACACTCAGACTTTATAATCTCATCCCAGTGAAAACCTCTGATCAGGATTACTTCACTAAAACCCAGCAAGACTCTTAACTCCTCCCTTTCTTCCATAGCACATTCAGGATCATCCTGATCTCCTGAAGACCACCAGAGTCCAGCCACAGCGTTCCCAAAAGGAAACGACACAAACCGAGCACCGGACAGCTCTTAACCAACGTTCAGAATAACCGTTTCGTGCTTAGCAACCAAGACTTTGCTGGTTTGAAGTGGACTGGGCTGACAATCATGATGACTGTAACAAATCATGTTTTTTTAAGTGTCCAAGTGGACCAGCTTGGCGGCTCGACACACGGGAGGCAACAAACGACCGCGATCAGCGAAATTCGTCGCTGTCGCTTTTATTACCTGACACACGGGAGGCGACCCGCGGCAGCAGCCAGCAGCAAAGCCGTCGGCGTGTTCTGTTCCATGGCGAAATCTAAACTTCCGTTGTTTTGTTTGGCTGTGTCAGGTTTGAGGGAATTAAGGTTATTTAAGCGGTTCAGAGTTAATAAAGTGGTAGATATGATGTTTCACAAGGTGCTGCTAGAGTTATGTGAAATCTTACTTCTGATTTTACTATAAAACATAATGATAATCAACTTCTCCTTTATGTTTGCTCGGAGATGTACGGAGCATACTGCCCGCTCATTGGTCAGTGAATGAAACCTCCGCTGATTGGTCCTCGTCCGAGCGACAGCGATGAAAAGTTGAAAATATTTCAACTTTCTGGGATCGCGTTGCCGTGTCGCCTGTGCACGACACGTGCATGAGTGCAAAATTTCACACGCACGTTTTCCGCGTTTCGCTTGGTAGGAGGGAGACCCGCGATTAACGCTTTGTCGCGCATGTCTCATTGAAAATGAATGGAGGAGAGGCGATGTCGCCTCCCGTGTGTCGAGCCCATAAAGATGAAAGCCCCATTAGTACATTTTTTTCTCCTCATTTGACCCCTCCCCATGGGGATTGGTGAGCTCCAGACATGACCGCACCCTGGAACTATTTGGTGGTTTAACCCCTTAATGTCAAGCTGGAGGCATTGGGTCCCATTTCTAACGCCTTTGGTGTGACTCGACTGTAGATTTGAACCCACGATCTCCCAATCTCGGGGCAGACACTCACACCACTAAACCACAGAGCTATGGTTAACTAGCACAAAAACTCCCCAGGTTCACGCTTTACATCGGTCATGTTTTTAGAGACTAGATATTAGGAGACATTGCTTCCGTTGGCACTTTCAAATTAATGACCATTTATTTCTATGTTGGTTGGAGATTTGAAGCCAACTTTGAAAAGACAAATAAGATTTTCTTATGCTTTTAGAAGTGTGATCTGTTCTTGAACATTTCAGATATTCAGTTATGTGTTTAAGTGAAACCACATGAATGTGACACAATCACGGTAAACCTTAACCGAGTTACCTGGCAGGCGGCCTCAGAGATGTAAGTCAGAGGGAACTTGGACTTCTGGTGCATCATCTTCACCTGCTTGGATGAATTCTGGAAAACATGAAAGACAAACAGATGATTTCTGATTTGCTGACGCATAAATACAGCAATATTACCTGTTGTTTATGAACACGGGTTTAATAGTCTGATATTAGTACCTTGTTGATTCTGAATGAAGCGTCTCGTGTGGCGCTCTCATTAAACTGCTTGTTCCAGTTTCCTTTAAAGTAGATGGCGTTGACCAGCACCAGCTTGGTCAAACCATTCACCGCACCCTGATCCAGAATATCCTTAATTTTACCTGGGGAAGAAAGATGAAAAGACCCACATGAAACTATGATGCTCAGGAATCAGTAACAGCAAATTTCTAAGAGTCTTTAACAATAAGGTTCTCTGTTCTAACAGCATCATTTTGGACTGAGAGGTAGAGGTGTACCAGGTGTGTGTGTGTGTGTGTGTGTGTGTGTGTGTGTGTGTGAGACCCACCTTGTGTCTCCTTCTCCACCCAGCTGTTGATGGTGAGCCTTGCTGTTTCTGTGTTGTGTATGAAGTCCATGGTCTGCAGCTCTGCCTTGTAGTACTTCCTGGTCTCTTCCAGGTAATCCTGAAACAAATTATAATCCCGTTTACAGACATTCACCTCAAAAACTAAACATCTTTCCTCTGTTGTGTGAATTTTCCAGAAAGATTTATGAAGCATTAAAATACGGCCACCACTAGACCTGGTTGTTTATCGACTAGCTGACATTCTCACAGGGCTTTGACACTCCTCATTCATTCTGGCTTAACAAAGGGTGAGCCAAAGCGCACACACACACACACACACACGATGCAGATTTTCTACACACCTGAACAAACTGGTAGGACTGCTCTCCGAAAAGCCTGTTGGCGACACTGAGGGCATATGGAGCGTCTGACCTGTTGAGCTCGCTCAGTAGGTGGGCGAAGCTTGAGTGAACACCATCGCGTAAATCAAGCGTTTTCAGGCTCTGCAAATAAAACAAGGTATTATAATACAGGTTGAACAAGAAAAAGGCCAGGCCAGCCCACTCCCAACAGGCGAACAGACTGGTGTGATGGTCAGCTCACTGGTTAAGGCAAAAATAAGCAAATAATTATCCAATATAAATAAACAAGGTACAAACCATCAGCATAAATAATACCTAGATGTCTGAATGTAATGTCTCCCTCTACTGGTGGGCTGCAGTACATTTGATAAGCCCCGCCCCTTTCATGCAACATAAGAGATGCTTTTCTAACCAAAAAACTAAAATCACATCTGAAATACTTTATTTGTAGACTTCTGTTGACTCATAGTTAAAACTTGCAGTTTTATGATCAAATCGACATTGTTCTAACACACTTTGATTGTGTGCAGGTGAGTAGGCGTGGCTTTTAGCCCCACTTCTATGTAGACATTCATTTTAAAGTATTCAACATGGCCGTGCCTGTAAAAGGAAGATTACGGCTTGACTTCTGAGCAATAGTAGTAGGTTTTGTCTCGTTATTATATATGCTTATGGAGTGTAACTCACCATGTTTCAAAGAAAATTAGTCAAAGTCCAACATGAACCCCAGGTTAATGCAAAAAGGAATTTAAAAACAACAGAATCCACGACCCAAAGTTTCTAAGTTATTTCAGGAACATTTGCAGAAAACAAAGCCCCAAGTTGGCCCTCCACCATGTTGTTATTCATATAGATTTTTCTGACGTCTACATAAAAGCTCATATTTGCTTTTTCTTAAACCGTCTGCGTTCAAATAAACAGGCCGTTAACCATTGCCTCCTAAGGTTCAGCATGACGAATGCTAAGCCTATTTTCTGTCAGAGGAAACGCGTTTTGTCACTGAAATGTCATTTGCATTTGTCAGTGATAAAAACCACAATTTTGTGGAGTCAGAAAAGGAACACACATGTTGTGGAAGGTTTGGTGAATGTTGATCCTACTTCCTGATGACCCAAGACAGACGCTGATATAAGAGAAGGAGAACCACATTGCAGAAAGCAGGGGAAGCTGGTGAAGAACAGTCAGGAAGAATATTCTTTGTGTGAGACCCTCTGAACGCCTGCCGTCATCTGTTAGTAAGACCAGTGCCACTCCCTGTATTAGTGACGTTACCCTCTGTAGGAACTGTGGCAGATGGGCCTGGGCCTGCTGCTGCATCTGCGCTCCTGCATGCTTCAGCTTGTTGGTCTCAGTGAACCTGAGGACCTGGAGGTGAAATTTGTAGCTGCTGTAAACAGGGCATCACTCATGTTCGGTTATGATCTCCAGCCCAGGCATGTGTGAGAGAAGCTGTGGACGTCCATCATTCAAACTTTATATTTAGTAGGGATGTAAGAAAATATCGATAGGGCAATATATCGAGATATATTTCCTGCGATATTATATCGACATTCAAAAGCTGCGTATTGAATTGTTGGAAGAATTTACATGCAAACTTTTGTGTGTTTTTCCTTTTCTTTTGTTGCAATTCAAATGCCAACCGCTAGTTTGCAGCATTGTGCACTGGGCTTTGTTTCCACCATGGAAATGTAAATCCCTGTTATGGTTCAGATACCTCATGTTAACTCATTAACTGCCAGTGACAACTGAAGTCGTCATTTGCATTTTTTACTGCGTGGGCGACAGAACGAGCCCCCGCAACGTGAGAACAAACCTCTCAGCTCTAAAGCAGATCTCCATCCGCGTACGTCACACGCCACGTGATCAGAAAGCTGAAAATCCATGTGTTAGGAGATCGTTTAGAGCCACTGCTGTAAAAAAAAAAGTGAGGTGCGAACCGGAAAAGCTTCTGCCGATCACAATTCGACAATGGATTATGAAAGAACGGATAACGCTCAAAACTCGTGGATTTTTCCTGATGTAAGAGGCGAGTCTCCTCTTTGTTTTGGTAGTTTAAGCGTTGACATCTTCATAGAACGCGACATTCCGTGACTCTTAAAAAAAACCTGTGAAAACGCTGAAAAACACTGGCAGCGAAGGGCTTTTCTGATCAGGAAATGGCTGGCAGTGAATGAGTCAAACATGTTACGTATCAGTTTGGACTGTTTATTGAATTTTCCTACAATAAATTCAGTCTAAAAAAATCGCTAATATCACCTGGCTGAATGTATCGCAATGTATTGTGATATATCGTATCGTCTCCCCTGCACCGTGATACGTATCGAATCGCCAGAATTTCACCAATACCCACCCCTAATATTTAGAGTTCTTTTCGGAACGGAAGAAGATGACCATGATTGTTTCAAACACTTCGTGTCTCACTTTGTGATGGCACTAAAAGTTGTTAAAGAGCATCAAGAGCTGCTCCCACAGAGCTGACCCTGACTGTTCATTCCTGCTGACCATGTCAGATAAATCTGGTGATTCACAACCAGAGGACTCCACTCCACCCTCCTCTCTTATCAGACTCAGGGCCGTGTCTCTGTAAAGCTTAAAGTTCAACCTTTTGTGATGGTGCCTTAAAGGAAAGTTAAGCAAACATAGTGGTTTTAGTTAGGGTTAGGGCTTTCTAAGGCGTTTCTCCCTACTCCTGACACAGGCTGAGTCACTTTTTCCTGCAGCACAGACAGGTTTTACTCATTTAAAAACCACATTACTCAGCTGACTTTGCCCTGTAGGCCTAAAAACAGCATAACACACGGGAATGTACTCAAGAGTTTAACAGTACCATTTAAAGATTCTGTCACTAACAATGCTCGTTAACTTGCCATCACTCAATTCCTGCAGATTGTTACATTGGTATCAATTTATATGCAAAACAATAATCAATAGAACACCATCACATCTTCGCTCATTACTCATCACTTCCAACAACAAGAGACAATGTGTAGTTTTTACCATTAATTTATGGTAATTTCCATCAACATGTTGAAAGTTAATTAACCGATGTCCAGTTGTTGAAAAATATTGGCGGCTTTGTAACATACAACCATAAAAATCAGGTCTAAAATACATGGAGCGGGTTTAAGTCTCTGGGCGACACCATATTAGATGCCATGTTTCCTTCTACGGGAGCTCTTGAGGACAAAATGCATTTACTGATTTGTAACAAATGGTTACAAAACTTTTCATCATCACTCCACGTGGCAGGGGTGAGGAGTGAGCACCACCTCACCCCTGCCACATGGCCCTCAAGTGATAAACCATCAGTCGAGCTCAATGGTCAACTTTCCTGGTGGGGTCACCCATGAAGACAGTGGGAGGGTTAATGTTATTGTTTCACAAATTAACCTGTTCACTCATTGCCAGTGATGAAAGAGAGTCTGATGTGCTTGTTATTTTGCTAAAGTTTGCATGCCTCTGGGCTTTTTGACCCCAATGGGCATCCTTTGGTAAGGTCTTACTCCAACACAAAAACACTGATTGCTTTCAACAAATTTAGGTATATACTGAACCCTATCGCCAGGAAAAATACGCGCTGTCACTTTAATCTCTGTGGTTATTCCCAAAGCACCTCCTTTGGTCTCCCGCACCTCCTTTGGCCGCTCCTCATTCCAGTTTGCTGCTTCCAACGACTGGAATGAGCTGCAAAAATCCTTGAAGTTCACTACCTACTTCCCATTATCTACCTTCATAATTCATTGTAATCAAGAGTTTCTGATCGATGTGCTTCTGAGTACTTAAGACTGTTTTAAGTCTGTTTTGATTGCTTGTTCATATTATATATGAGAACAGTCCTTTGTCTTTATGTCTAATCGTTGTTATTTGGTATAAAGCTAACTATGCGTCTGTTGCTGCTGGCCAGATCATTGTTGTAAATGAGAATGAGTTCTCAATCCACTCATCTGGTTAAATAAATAAATGCTGCTAAACGGGCTTCTTTCCTGCTTCGGATCTTGTTCATGAGCAGTTCTGCAGCACTTGCCATCTGGATTTTGGGGTTTGCTGGGAACTGCAGCTTCTTTTTGTACTAATTCAGTTTCTAAACATAAAAAAGGTTACGTTCTGAGCAACAAACTCATGGATAATTACTGACCCTGTGAAACACTCGGACAATAATCCTGCATAGGGAAAAATAACAGCACGGTTATTTAGCTCTCCTTAACAGTCATCATATGTTGTAATAATTACGTAATACTGCTTTAGAAATGTCAAAAGACTGATTTATTGTGGAACTGGAGACATTTGAATTTCAGGGCAGATTATGGGTGAGGCTGATCTCCTCCCATCTACAAACACTGACTAAACTAGGTGGGGCTTGGCTGCTCTCTTGGACTAAAACCACATTGTTATTATTAGAATGTATTCAATTCAACTACATACATTTCTATGTTCTCTTTAAAGGTCTGTGCATTTTAATGCAGCAGTTGCCAAATACATCTTTATTGAGAAAGAAAACAGTCATTTGTTATTTTAAGGAAAGGTATGGTCTCTGAGCTCCTGATGAGTGCTCATGCAGGTTGAACTTTGAGATCTCACATAAAGCTCTCCCTACCAAACGGATGGCTTTATTACCCCTACACTTCTGCATTGTTTATTATGTTACCATGGCCACACAGCACAAGCCCAACCTGATCTTTTCTGCGGACGATGAAAGACAAAGCAGATGATAAATCTGCGCCAGATGCGTTTCTGACACCTGGGACTCTGACCTGGGTTCTCCTTACATCAGATTCAACGCAGTACCTTCACGGTCCTTTAAGGTTCAGTGTTGGATTATAGGGTTTTAGATAAAACACTGAGTATTTGAGAAAATGGAGAGTTTATGGTATTGTGATATGACAGCAATGCGATAATAAAAAGACAAGAACAGCGGTTACTGAGCATGGACGCTACCTCTGACATCTGCGAGGCCGTGTTGCCTCTGGCTCCCAGCATCACCATAGCCAGAGCTGAGGAGATGCTGAGCGGAGAGAAGAAGACATTGGAAGAGTTGTCCTTTTCTCCCAGCTTTTTGAACAAAGCAAGAGAGAAGGAAGTGTTGGCCTTGGACAGAGGGGTGGATGATGCCATGGTGCCTGTAAATACAAGAAGAGCTGGACGTTAATTATTGTTTACTTCTTTATGAAACAAAGCACTGCTTTCATGTCTAATCAAGCTCCAATAGGAAAATATTAAATTACACAATAACAAATTCATTCATCTGTGTATGATTCATATATGAAAGCTGTAACATTTTGCAAACTGGGAAAACGTTTGACATTTATTCAGCTTTCATTAAACATACTAATTCAGGAAATTTTCTTTGTATTTACTTTTTTACTTACTAAATAAAATCCTATGAGAAATGAGACTAATCATTATTATTATTTCGTAGCAGTGACTTGTTTTAGTGTACATTTTTATAAGTAATATTGTGATCATTAGCTTACGCAGGAAAACTAACAGTAAGCTCCAACATTTAATAGAAACTTATAAAGTTCAGTAATGGCAGCTTTTCCTGTATAAAACGCTGCGACGAAAAACGGTTAAAACAAACAAAACATTATAAATTTTTCTCACAAACCGAACAAATGTACTCACTGTCAGTCACGTCTGCTGTTATCCTCACTTCTGGGAAAACTACTGTCTGTGGAAGAGGTCGACACACCCCAAATTCTTCATGAAAACGACTTCCGCATTTGTCTGTTTACGGAAGCCGATAAGGGAGAAAAAGTTTCGCCCTTTCAATCAGCTCAAACCTCTGGTTTTCTGATATTTTTAGACAAAACAATTTTATCATGCATACCTTTCGGAGTTAATATGATGTGTAGTGTATTAATTATACCTGTGTATTCCCGTTTTGGTCAGGATGTTCTTCTTTCACTTATTTAGTACGTCTGTTTATGTTTGTTATGCAGAATTGTAATTGCTTCCGCTCTACTGTCTAATTACCATGAACATTTGAAATGTAATTTTATAATGCTTACTTTTATGCATATGTATATATTTGTTTATGTATTTGTGTGTATATATATATGGCAAAATATGTTTTACATGCCACAGAAAAAGTATTTTTTGTTGTGTTGCTTTTAATTTGTGATTAATGCTTTGCTTTTTTCTGCTATCTTTCTTTTATTGGCTATAATGTAGGAAGACCCACTTGAAAATTATATCCTAAATTTTAAGTTAACGAATAAATAAATATAAACCCTTATAGACACAGTATCTAGCAACTAGGGCTGCACAATATGTCGCAAATATATCGTTATCACGATATCAGCATGTGCAATATGCATATTGCAAAGAACAGATAAATATTGCAATGAATGGTCAGCTCAAATGTTTGCTACACATAATGCATTCTGTCAATCAAACGGAAGCATGATGTTTTTTAACAAATCAAATAGAGATCTTCACCCATTTGGCCAATTGGGTGGGTTCTCATAGGTTAGATGCCCGCCCCGAGACGAACAGCACTTAGCAAACACCTGAGTTAGCTTTATTCTGCTCTATCTGCTGATCCAGCTTTTCCCGGGATACACTGATTGCCTTCTCTTGTTCGTTTTATTTTCCCTTTCCTCACATCTTTTGCTTTTTTCATTTTAATGATTTATTTAGTACTTTTTAAAATTTCTTTGTTTTTGATTATTTTTGTTCCTGAGTTTAGTTTTTAGTTATCGCAAGTAATATCGTCATCACGAGCTATTTAGGATGGAAAAACTGACATATTTGTTGAAAAATCGGAAGACCAAATTCTATGAAATCTGGAACAAGTGGATCTTATTCATTCCCCCCTCTAGAGCGGACATTATGTGATTCGACTGTTAATCAACTTTTTGTAACCTGGCAATTTCATTTCTTTTTTTGGCAGCAGCACAGGCAACCCCTCAGTTTTTGGTTATGTTTCCTGTTCCATATAAATGTGTTTAACCCTTTAACTATTACAGGTTCCCCTCTGGAGCGCAGTGACTTTTCAGTAGTTTAGACATTAAGGGACTCTCCTTGATACTCCTCTATGAAGGATGGGATGCTCTTGCCGTCCACCACTCATCTTGGATTCAAATGGGGAGGGGGGAAGGAGGGGAAAAAAAGAACAAAAAACTGGAATGACCCTGTTCCTGTGTCATTTAGATCTTGTTTTGTTTATGTTCATTCCAAATAAAGATTTAATAAAAAAAATATCGTCACCACAATATTAATCACTGTTATCGCATATCACAGGTTTTCCTAATATCGTGCAGCCCTAGTAGCAACCCTGCAACATAAAGTACTACATCTATTATTTTGTATAACCAGCGTGAGTTTTAAGGACAAAACTGTCTTCAAGTCACATGGAACAAACAAACTGGCGACATATTGCAACATCGATCTTTATCCATTCTTCAAGAATAACCTTCTTTAGAGCCTGGATGCTGGATGGAGAATGATGCTCAACTTGCTTCTTCAGGATTCCCCATAGATGTTCAGTTGGGTTCAGATCAGGTGGCTTTCTTGGCCAATAATTACTTTCACCCTGTTCCTCTCCAGAAAGCCAACAGTGGCTTAAGACGTGTGTTGTGGATCATTGTCATGTAGAAAAAGTGCATGATAACAAGGGCACAGAGTGATGGTAGCATCTTCTATTTCAGTATTGAGCAATAGACTACATCTGTGAGTTCATGATACCATCAATGAAATGACGCTCTCCAACACCAGCAGCACTCGTGCAGCCCCACATAAGGACACCGCCACCACCATGTTTTACTGTAGGCACCATTCAATTTTCTTTGAAATCCTCACCTTCGCAGCACCATACATTTTTGAAACCGTGATTTCTAAAAACAGTGATCTTTGTCTCATCACTCCAGAGTACACAGCTCTGTTATAGATGACACCAATGCATGCCATTCCTCAAGAGGGTGTGCCACATGGTGTCACTTCAGTTTGTCTTTCTAATTCTTTAGCTAACTGCAGTGAACTTCTTTGGAGATTTTCTTCCACTCTCATGAGAAGATGCTTCTGTCGAGATGTTGACTTTCATCATCGGGCTGGACGTCGTTGCACTTCCATCTTTCTTAAACTACAGTGTTCTGATTTGTAAATATTTGCTGATCTTCTTAAAGTCTTCACCTTTGTTGTCGAATTATTTCCTTTCTCAGGTTTTGCGACATTTCTCTTCCACGGGGTTGGTGACAGCATGATATGAGAAAGGATTTTCTTTGTCGAGTGATGCCTTTATATAATTTTCTGTCTTCACATCTTAAATTAAAAAAAATATATATATATATATGTAAATTTTAAATGTGGTGCACTAATGAGCTTGTATTACTTTGTTAGGAAATTAACTTTTACGTGTGAGCAAATGAACAAATCTTGATTGCAGTCAATGGCTCACATTTGAGGGAGTATTTTGCAGTACAGCATTCCATGGAAAAAGTAGATTCTGAAAGAAAACTGAAGTTTTTCTGACACACCTGGTGGGGTGTACTCATTAATGCTAAACACTGTAACATCCAGAAAGGGTCAATTGTCACCTATATATTGACCACAGAGTGACCGGCCACCTACAGACATAATTCCACTAGCTGAGTGGAGCTTCTATTCTGTCTTCTAAAGCCCAGAAGATTCTGCAGCGCATGGTGACATTTCAGGAGGATAAGATGTTCCCAAACAAAGCTTTCTTCTGACAAGACTGCAGGATTCCACACTCTGAGTAAAAAGTGAACTGTTGCAGCTCATACTCATTAAATAATCATATGGTTGAATAAACAAATGCTATATGAGTAATAATATTAATGTTTGGATAATCTGTGCCTAATTCAGTAAAGGGAAATGAATATTATTATTTCATTGAAAGATTTATATGTTAGGATCAGCAATGTTTGATTTGACAGGTGAATCACTATCTGCACTCATACACAATGTTCATAAGTTATAAATTACGGTTAACGTCACATATCACATAGGTTTAAAGATTCTTTATTTACAGAACAAAACATTTTGTATCCGGAAGGTGTGGTTTCTGAGGGATGTTTGGTAAACATCACTAAACACATGCAAACAACCTTCATACCTGTTGTGACCTGGAGACAACTCAAGACCGGTCCAGTGGTACGGCAGTTATTCTGCAAACTTCGGTGCCTTGGGGTACACACGGCTTCCTGACATTCCGGATCTGCAACGGGGGTCTCCATCAGGGTTCGTAGACACAACAGATTGTGTCTGATGTTGTTCTATAAATCATCAACTCTAGTTTTATAGCAGACCAAATTCTTTTACACCCACAGCTCACAGTTTCTTTCAGATACAAAGGTTCTGATAAACATCTGCATCACATTCCATCAACACATGTACATCCATCACACATCATTATTCATAGCATGTCATGTATTATAATTAGTCTCGAAAATAAAGTGTCATGGTTTGTGCTGAGCCAAACTGGTTTTGTTTTCCTCTGAGGGCTGTCTGCAGGTGGGCGTGTCCTGGAGAGCAGAGCTGTTGCTGTTCAGCCCATCAGTGGCCAGGGGATTTAAAGAGCGGCGTGACAACTCACCAGTGCCGGATGATATTCCGTCTTGGGTAGTTCTAGCCGCTACCAGTCCTAGCTCTTGTCATCTCTGAATATATTTTTGTCTTTTTTATCCTGACTCCACGTTTATCTGATCTGTTCTTCTGACCCATCCAGATTTCTCTCACCTGCAAAGAACATCACACTTCAATAGCTTTGGAATCACTCAAGCCTTCAGCCATGTCGTTCACCTCTGACCACCAGCTCTTCACCACCCACCTGCTCACCTGGACACACCTGCAGCCAACTCCCCTGTGCTCAGCTCCCAGCCTTGGTCTCTCAATCCCCCCTCAGCCAGACCTGACCTGCCTCCCTCCTTGGCTTCCCAACTTCCTGAAGACCGTAAGCCTCCTCTCCCCTTTTGATTTTCCTCTGCATCATTATCCAAAGACTAAAATCCATTCTCTCTCAAGAACACCCCGAAACTCCTCTACCCCCTCGATCTCCGTTTTTTCTCTCCTCCACAAAGACTTTAATAAAATACATGAAAACTTTTCCTTACCTCAGGTTCTGTGGTGATTCTTCATGTCGTGGGTCAAAAAACTACCCTCTAACATGACATAAAATGTATTTTTAATTATATACTTGACTCTGTCTGCATTAATACGAAGTGTGTTTATGGTCACTGAATAAGCAAAGAATCCTAAATTCTTCTGGGAGATCAATCAGGTTGATATTCTATATTTATGTAGAATCATCACATTTTATTGGTCATAATTTAACACCCCAATCTCACTACACTACAACACTGTAGAAGGTGTTGACCAGAAGCAGCTACTAATGTAGGAGAGGGAGCATGTGAGTGAAGCTTGGTTTATGCTTGACGCGTCCACGAGGTTCGCACGGCTCCGCGCGGCAAAATTGCTTCATTTTAACAACCACGCCCCTCCACCGCGCCTCCGCATGGCCCAAAGTTTCCGCACCGCACACCTAGGAAATTTTCTAACCAGTCGGACGTGGAAAAACATGGCGGACCGGCAAGAACTAGTATGGCAGAGGTTCGTAAATACAGACATTTGTATGATTCAGCTCTCAAAGAACACCGTGATCAACATGTTGTTAATAATTCTTGAGGAGAAATAGCTCGCACTGTCGGAAAAGACGAGCACGCTGTTAAAAAATGCTGGAATGCCGTGTTGTAAACAACGGTAATTTTTACTTCTACTATGGTGTAGTGTGGGACGCATGCCATAGCGCTCCATGCTGTCCCGTTCAGTTTGGGAGAATATTGGCTCACCGCAGAGACAAGCCGCATGAACCATAAACGCTGCAAGTTGTGAAGCTCGTTCCATCCGCGAGCCGCATCACCAAGCGGAAAGTAAATGCGTCAAGCATAAACCAAGCTTCAGCCACCACGGTAGGAAGCCCAGCTTGCTGTGAGCGAGAGCAGCGATCTGTGGCTGATGAGTGAAAACAAAAGAAAAACATTTGGGACTGAAGCTCCGTCAACACCAACTGGCGAAGCTGCTGCATTTCTAAATAAAGCATGTCATTATGGCGGCGCGCAGCCGCAGCTCACGGTTCTGGGAGAACTGGGCATGCCCGTCCCATCAACAGCGTGGTCCACCCATCTCAGCAGCAGAGACATGGAGCACAGTTTACAACTCTGAACTATGCTGAGTAACTTTATTTGAAGGATGCATTTTATCAGGAGCAATATTTAGTCTGGAGCAGTACCTATTGAACCTGCTACTTTGTTAGGTTAGTGGAAATTCAATATATACAATAATGAAAGCCCTTGACACCGAGCCCATGATATAAAAGTAAATTATTAAAAGACGCAAAAAGATGAAAAATTTACATTAGAGAGCATAATTTTGATTTTTCATTATTTTATTGACACACATACAATATTAAGTAAGACATTATTTGCATAAAAATAATTGTTGAGTTTCCAAATTAATTTCAAAAATAAAAAAAATGTTGCAAAGAACTCAATGACTGGACCTCCTTCTTCCTAGGACTTGGTGTTGGTGGTGCCATCAGTAAGCCTTTGGCGTTGGACTAAACTGGATGAGCGCCCTTCATCAGATATTTTACAAAAGAATCACAGAAAACAACAAACTGATTAATATGGATATGAAGAAAATCACTAGTTTGTAGAAGAAACAGTAGCTTTCTGTGAAGTACAATAAACCTGTTCCACCATATGGTGAGGAACATACATATTCGAACACCCAGCAATTTTGCAAGTTCTAACTAAGAAATTATTAGGGGGACTGAAACTCACATGAGGTGTATTCCTATTGTGAGAGAAAGCATTTAAAATAAGCAGGAAATCCCATTGTATGACCGCAGGGTGTTCAAATACTGAAGTTCATCACTATAAAAGTCCATGTCCAGACATCTCTCACTTAGGGGAGCAGAAGCGTCCGGCAAACAGAACACTCATGGTGGGGTTATGGCGGATGAAGAAAAGGAAAGGATGGTCTGCTCTGAACACTGGTCCAGCACTAAGCATCCTTATAGAGATGTCAGTGGCAGCAGCAGCTTCAGTTCCCTCCTCGTTTACTTCCACAAAGGCCTTGTGGGAGACTTTGGACAGAAAGAGCTCTTTGTTGCTCGACATACCTACAAAAAGAAATATATATGGTAAATGGCCTGTATTTGATATAGTGCCTTCTAGAGTCCTGGAGCCCCCCAAGGTGCTTAACAACACAATCAGTCATTCACCCATTAACACACATTCACACACTGGTGGGTATGAGCTACAATGTAGCCACAGCTGCCCTGGGGCACACTGACAGAGGCGAGGCTGCCGAGCACTGGTGCCACCGGTCCCTCAGACCACCACCAGCAGGCGAGGTGGGGTAAGTGTCTTGCCCAAGGACACAACGACATCAACAAACTGAGCGGGTCTCGAACCTGCAACAGGGCGAGCACTTAACTCCTGTGCCACCGTCGCCCTTTATATATTATAATAGATAATAATAAATAATAATAATAATAATAATAATAGTAATGATAATAATAATAATAATTTGTATTTAATTATTAAAACTGTGGTGACTAGGTGCCCCTGATCGTGCACACATATTTTAAAATTGACAGGTTTACTTTTCGGGTTAAATAATGATCGAAATAAACGATTTTATGATTTTGATCGGACAAAGTCACAGTATAAATAAGGTTTTGAGGCAAGTCAGTCACATGAACGGGTTTCAAATAATCACAATTTTAACTCAGAGACTTTTATAAGTGCAGTGGGGCAAAACATTTTTGGCAGCCACCGATTGTGCAAGTTGTCCCACTTGAAAAAATGAAAGATCTGTAATTTTCATAATATGTACACTCCAGGAAATCCCAATGTTTTATTTTTCTAGAATGTATTTGCATAATGGTGAAGAAATTATGCATTTGGTCATTAACTCATTAACTGCCATTGACAACTTAAGTCGTCATTTGCATTTTTTTACCGTGTGGGCATCGGAACACGCCCCCGCTCTGTGAGAACAAACATCCCAGCTCTAAGGTGGATCTTCATCTGCACACGTCACACATCACATGATCAGGAAGCAGAAAATCCATGTGTCAGGAGATCGTTTTGGGCCGCTGCTGTTAAAAAAAAAGTGAAGCGCAAACCGGAAAACCTTCTGCCGATCCCAATTCAACAAGGGATTATGAAAGAACGGATAACGCTGTCATGGTCTGCCTCTGCAGCCCTTCCTTCATGTGCCTCCTGGTGTTTCTCCATCCTCTCTAGGTGCTCCTTTTGTTTCCTAGCACCCTCATGTGTCATGTCTGCGTCTTCCTCATGTGTCTTCTGGTTTTCCCCATTTGCCCCTAGATCTCCAGCCCTCTAGGTTTCTCAGGTCATTTCCTTTAGTTACAGCCTTTCATCATTTAGTATGTTTTTTCCCATCAGTGTTCATTATTTTTCTCCCACCTCCCTTTGAATTGTAGTTATGTTTCCTGCTCTTTTGTATTAGGTTTTATTCCTAGGTCAAGTTAGTTTCACCCCTGATTAGTCATTGCCTTCACCTGGTCCTCCTCCCACACCCCACACACCTGCAGCTCATCCTCCCGGTGTATTTAAGCCCTGTCTTGTCTCAGTGTCTTGTCGGTCCACTGTGATGTTATTCTGTCAGTCTCGTCTAGCTTTTGTAATTTCCAGTGTTTTTGGTACTCTTGAGTCTTTAGCGTTGTTGGATATCCTGATCGTTATCTGGAGTTTTTGGCTTTTGGCTTGCTGCCCCTTGGCCTTATTTTTGTTTAATCCTACAATAAAAGGATTTTTCTTTATATTCAACTCCTGCCTCATGTCATCCTGGGTATCTGCAAATTTGGGCCCTAAACATCCCCGAAACGTGACAAACGCTCAAAACAAGCAGATTCTTCCTGACGTAAGAGGTGAGTCTCATCTTTGTTTTGTTAGTTTTAGCGATGACATCATCACAGAGCGCAACGTTCTGTGACTCTTAAAAAACAGTGAAAACGCTGAAAAACGCTGGCAGCGAAGGGCTTATCTGATCAAGAAATGGCTGGCAGTGAACGAGTTAACAAAATTCCACCTCAATACTTTGTAATGTAACCATGGTTGGACCACACTGTAGCTGGTATTTTGGCCCATTCTTCCATGCGGATCGATTCTAGAACTGTGATGTTTTGGTGCTGTCACTGGACAACATGGACCTTCAGCTCCTTACCCAGATTCTCTATTGGATTGAGGTCTGGAGACTGGCTAGGTCACTCCAGAACCTTGAAACACTTTTTTTTTTTTTTTTTTTTTTACAAAGCCACTGCTTTGAGGATGATTATCATGCTGGAAGATCCAACCACATTTTATCTTCAATGTTAAATAAATTAATAATGCTTGGAGCTAAATACTTATTAGTTGCACCATTGTACAATTAAAATCTTTAAAAATCATACAATTTTTTTACTGAACATTTTGTACATTATGTCTCACAGTTGAGATGTACCTATCAAAACTACAGACCTCTCTAAACTTTTTAAGTGGGACAATTTGCACAATCAGTGAAAATACTTTTTGTCCCTGTAACGTGAGGAAATATGGGTTTTCTGTGCCAAAGGTTGTACTTGGCCCGGCTGGGTCACGCAGAACTTTCACCCACAGAGTGAGACCTTTGCCGACATGAAGTCTGCAAGAGTCTGCTGCAAACCATAACATCTGCCACCTGCAGTGCCAGAAGATGTTGTTCTCATGAAAGCTAGTCATAATAAAGAGTCTTACGCTTCCTTTGTTTATTAATGCTAAATAATCATTTTACCATTTTACTCATTATAAATGTATTTTAATCAAATGAATTATTATTATGCTTTGGTTAATCATAATAACTATAATGAGGCAATGCTTAATTAAGTAATGTTTTGAAGATGTTTTAGTGGTGACCTTCACACTCGCTCACACACACTCTCACAGTAAATTCAAAACACATTTGCTGACGCACAAGTTTTGCTTTGAGAAGAGAAAGGCTTTTGGTAAGTTTTCAGTTCATGGTTGAGTTCGTGTTGACAACGAGAGAAAGAGGACGTGTGAACAACCGCTAACGGGGGAACGGGGCTGCGGCTCCTCCTCCCTCCCCCCCCCCCCCCCCCCCTCACGCTATTCTTGTCAAGCCAGACAGGATAGCTGAGTTGCAACCGCTAACGCAGACTCGTTCAGAGTCTTTGATTTTCTGAGTAAATTAAACTTAAGAAAGCGCATCTGCAAACGCTCCAACAACGTGTACCGGGGGGCATCTCTGGACCGGATCGTCGCACACCTTCGTCTCCTCTGCCAGCCAAGGTGTGACCTGGATAAACATCCTCCTGAGGTCTGGATCTGAACAAGGGTCCTCGTACGGTGAGGCAGAACACAATAGATAGCGTTTGATGCATCTTTTCCAATGAAACCTAAGTTTATTCAAACCATCACTTTTCACTCAGACACCTGTTTCTTCCTGGAGCAAAATCAGACGCACACACGCATTCATCTCACCTCATTCTCAATTTTCACACATTCAACACAAGGTCTATTTGAGCAAGTTTAAAATATCAACTGTTAGATTGTTCAACAAAGTTGCCAATGTTGATTGTTATTTCCTATGTTTGTCATTTCAAAATCATTAGTTTAATTTGAAGAATTAAAACTTAACTTTCAAACTTGTCTCTTCATTGAACTGAAACACAGACCCACGGATATTATCGTCAGTTTATCGATGAAAACAACCTTTGAGTCTTCTTAACCCTATAAAATTTGGTTATTAATTTATTAAAAATTAATATTCCAAATTAATATGTAGATTGGTTCCTCTTTCATAAAAGAGCATAAACCATTACACTACATAATTGGAAGAGCCTAGCCAGGTTCTCTACATAATTGGCGAGCTAATCCAGACTTCTATATCTGCGATATATCCGATTTAATCCATCAAGAGGCTAATTTTTAACAAAATTACGCATTTTCTCTGTGTTTCACTTTGTCTTATTTTGAAAAACCGGAAGTTATTCCGCACTAAAGTCACTCTTCCGGGAGACGTCCTGAGGAGTTATTTTACGGTGGAAATCTCCGTCCACAAATTAACCACAAATTTAGCAAATCCCGTGAGTTTCCCCATCTTCGCCCTTCGGCGAGAGGCTGGGTGAGTTGGGTCTTTCACTATATTCTGTCCACTTTGACGAAACATCGCGTCTCTATATCTTCAGGTCGGAAATTTAACTTTCCGCTCTGAACCCGCTGTAAAGAGCTAACCGCTAGCCGCTTACCTTCAACCTATAAGTAAGACTAAATCTCCGAATTCTCGGAAAAACTTTGTCGCGGTGTTTTTGACACTGTGTGCGAGTATTTGTGAAATCTGAGATAGATTTATCCCCGTCGGAAGTTAATTCCGTTCGGAAGACGTCTGATCCGCGTCTGTCCATTCCCGGTAAACTCGCAAGCATAATAGTTAGCTTAACTTGCTAATATTATCTCTCTATAAGTCGGGTTATACACCGTAGAGCGCATCTGCACCCCAGAGTGCGGACGCTAAAGTCCCTAAATTACCTCGTAGCTAAGGCAAGTTTGGTTAATCGGGCAATTTTGTCCTGGTCGCTACAGGTACTCGCTAGCTTAGCCAAAGAGCTAACTAGCCACCCCGGTTTAGACAACGGGAACGCGTCCCGGTGAACTGTCAAACCGTTCTGACGCAGCGATTCTGCATCCTAAAATCCGCTAAACCTTTAGCGGTGGTTCTTGTAAAATGCTCCGGTGTGTAGAATCGACATTTTGGTACGTGGCCTTCCGTCGGAGTAAAACGCAAAGTTTTATCCGTCAAATACCAGCACGACCGCGTAGGTTTACACTCTATTTGGGTCCGGTGAAAAGATCCTGGCTTCAGGCTCTAATCTGCCGGTTCCATGACTTTTTCTGCCATCTTGTGGTGACTTTGTGTTCCATTCGTTTCTCTGTCAACAATACCTTTTTTTTACCCTGTGCCATGAGTTGAGTTGAGTTGACGCCAAGGCGTTTACCGTGGGCTCAGACGGTAAATAAGCGATTTGCTCTGTATGAAGGGAGAAATGGACGAAACACGACAAAATCTTTCTTGTGCTGTTACACCTGATGTAGGGTTCTCTAATGGTCTGCT